CTTTGCACTTGAAATTGTAAGTCAAGTATGATCGTTTTTTTTTAAGTTGTAAATAGGTTGTGAAAAAAGGCTTTTTTTTTGTTTACTTGTTCTTTTAGTGTAGACATCTTTGATAGTGCTTTTTCCTTACTGTAATCACAGTTATTAATTTATAGTTAGAAAAGTTTTTATATTTTAAATAGCATTAAAATGACTCTGCTCGGTTGTCAGCTATCCTTAAAACTGTTTTTTTGTGTTGATTTTTAGGGTGGTATACTGTTTTTGGCATCTGGTGGACGAACTTTTGAGTTAAATATTGCAGAGGTTGTCCGTAGACAGGATAAAAGATTTGCCGAGTAAGCTGTATAGCAGCAATTTTCCACTACAGTTTCATATTTTCGCAAAAGAAAATCAGTAAAACGGTACACAGGACAGCAAAGTTATGTATCAATAAAAGAAAAACAGTTTGCTTTAGAAGTTAAAAGATTTTATTTCTTTTAAAAACACTGTTTTTATACAAAATTTAAAAAGAAATATTGCTACTGCTTGAACTGGTGTATCGCAGCTGAACAATGTGGAATGAAAAAAAAGTTGTCGGTTAAATGATGTTATACGGTGACGTCGCTGTTATTAATTATCTAAAAAGAGTTTTGCTTTAGCAAACAAATTTGTCAACTGTTTTTCTACTGTTGAAACATTTTAACATTAGTGAAAATTCAATAGCAATTCTCTAGTTTTTTTTTTTGAGCACCAATAAATGGTGATAATTTTCTGGGGATAAAATTTTTTCTCTGTTTACTCTATGAAAACTTATGATTTTCGATACTTTAGGCTACATGAAAATTTAAAGCAAGAAGGCTTAGACTGCGGAAATCAAATAACAGAATTTTTGCGTCTTATTCTGAAGACCAGCAACAATATCAGGGTGTTATATTTCACAAAAAATTTATTGACTGAACCTGAACAATCGTACGATAGTTCAGCAATAGAACATCACGACCCGGTAGATCAAATTTTTTATTCAAAATAATTTTTTAAAAAAGAAAGCTATAATTACTCTCACAGTAAATTTAGCTAAGAATATATCTAAATTTTGCTCTAATATTTTATTTTATTTTATTTTTTCGCTAGGTAGCTTTTCCTGATGATTGTCCCTATCTAACGTTATGCCAAAGTTCGTTAGCTGACTTGAATTCTCGTTTACCAACTGGAGATCATGTTGACATGCGATATTTTCGTCCGGTTATTCAAATTGCTGGACCGCCAGCATACGATGAAGACAAGTGGTCAGAATTGAAAATTGATAATGTGACATTCATTTGTGACAAACCGTGTTCCAGGTGATCAACTAAATTTTGTAACACTAATATTTTGTAGTTTTTCTAGGGAAAAACTAGCTTGATTCATTATTTTAAAAGTCTGAGTGTTTCTTAAGACGAACTTGCACAAGGTTTGCTGATTCGTGCTTTACTGGTATGGAGACAAAAAACCCCATCTTTAGTGTTATTCTCTGCGTAAGAATTCTAAGCGCTTGATCTAGGATAGATGACAGAAAAGTATTTTATAATCGACCAATTTTTCTATGTTCTGCAGTCGAATTTCTCTTAAACACTGATTATTTGTATTATCATTTTTCTACTTGTTTATTTCGATTTACCTATTAAATTATCATTTAGCAGTAACATTTGTATAAGCAGTTTCTTTTTTTGAAAATTCTGGCATTAAAATTAATCTGTTCTGTGCACAGAGGATAAAAAATTGCTTTATTTTCTATTTAAAACCGGGCTTTGAAAACTGAGTTTGAAAAAAAAATAAGAAGTGTACAAATAACTGATATGATGAACTATCTAAAGAATTGTGTAGTGCCAGCCAATTTTCAGTTAATGTTGCTATTTGACTTTATTTACGTCTCAAAAAAAAACGTTGTTGAAACAAGAAACAAGTACAGCAATTTTCTAAAAGAAATAAAAGTTTTTTACAGTGAGAATTAAATTTTTTTACAGCCATTTTTAACAAATTTTTTACTTTTAATTTCGAAGTCAAATTGTTCAATACATTTCTAATAAATTTTCTTAGCAGCGTCTCATGTTATAGACATTCAAAACAAAAAAAAAATTGCTATTAATTTCAGATGTGTTTTGATTACAATTGATCCTGATACTGGGCTACATCGACAAAACGAACAGCCGCTGAGGTTGCTTCGAGAGTAAGTTTTTACCTCAATTTAATAAACTTTATAAGCTTTTAGGGTTTCTAAATATCTTGACTGATGGCTTTAAATACTATCTTTACAGTCCTCTAGGGTTTCTAAAACGAGTAAGAGGCAGCAGCGGATTAGAATATAGAAAAGTGCAGTATGAGAATCGTTAGCAAAAATGTGTTGAAGGTTTTGGGTGGAAGAAAAGGTTGTTACCATTCAGCTAAAATTAACCATACAAATTCTAGAGGTTTTACTGCTGCTGTCTAAATTGAACAGTGCTTTCTAGGCACCTTGGTTTACTAATTTTCAACTCACTTTTGCTGTTTTTGAAATAAGTAGATAAAAATAAAAAATATCAGAATTTTTTTTAACATAAAAATTTTTGTATTCTTATTTTCGTATGATAATTTATTACAACAAACTAATTTTTTTTTGCACTGTAATCGATTGAGTCTTTGTGCCATTTTACTACCATATTTCTGCTTCACTTAATAAGATTTCTAGCTTCTTTTTTTTTTTGTTTTACAGATATCGTATGGCCACAGGAAAACTTCGCGAAAAGTACAGTCAGTATCCATTATTTGGGATACTGATGAAGGTCAAAAAACAGGGTACAATACGAGTTGGTGATTCAGTTTATGCTCGATATAAATAATGGCAATATTAGTAATAATAATTATTATTAAGAAAAGTTGTATTTTCTTAACGCGTTATTTGTTTTCAATTCAAAACAAATTCTTAATTTGAATCAACAGTTATAGTGCAGTTTTTGTAATCAGTTCTGATTAAAATCATTGGAAAAGCAAATAGCTAAAAATAATGCATTTTGACCGTCTTTTTTTGTGTATTTTTTGTGTAATCGAGGTTTTATCATTTTATGTTCATTAATTAATTTATTTGTATTTTTTCTGTTTACAATTTATTATTTCTTTCATGCGAAAACATTATGTTATAAAAATACAGTTATGTATTTATCGAACGTGCAGCATAACAGCAATAGAAATAAAAAGAGGTGGAAGGAATATCTTTTTTTAAAGTTAAAAAAGAAGAAGAACAAAACAACGTCGTTATTACTTTTGTATTTTTCATACTATTGAAAACCGAAAAAAACGAATAAATTTTTGGTTATTCATACATTGTTTTAACACAATCGCTGCTTATTTTACGCTATGGCGTAAAGCATAGTAGTTCATAGTTCAAGCAAAACAACTAAAGAAATTTGGATTGATAGAGATTTTAAATTAAAATGCAATTGACCAGATGTTTATGTGCTGTTTTGAATCATGCACAAATTATTGCTGTGTGAACACTATGAAAATATTACATTTTACAGTAAAGAATGGTAACCTTGCTATCATGTTTGTTATGTTCCACATGATCTATTAGTCAAAGGTGACCAAAAAACGCTTATTAACACAACAGTAGAATAGCAAGAGAAAGAACTTAACAGTAAATAAAAAGCATCTGACCATTAAAGGTAATAAGAGAGCTTTTTTACAGGTTCTTAGCAGACATGAATTAAATATACTCACTGAAAGATAAGAACCTACATTTATCTCAAGGCAAGTATAATGATCTGTAGAATGCAGCATATGTATTCAGACAACATCATAACGATACTGACTTCTGATTTTAACTGTAGGTGATCGACGTAATTTTACCAAAACTGCCAAACTTTGTAACTATGTGAAACTGGAGCTTAAAACTGTTGGGGCTTTATCTTAATTAACAGGTTAGTGGTCAAATTAGAAACGGACAATGTACTTACTGTGTAAAGTAGAATGGCAGTTGAAGAAATTAGTTATAGCTGATAAAAACAAAAAAAAAAAAAAAAAAAAAAAAAA